CTCTCTCTCTCTCTCTCTCTCTCTCTCTCTCTCTCTCTCTCTCTCTCTCTCTCTCCCCTGCCCCCAAGAGCAAAACAGGTCTCACTGTCCCACTTGCTGAAGGTGCTGACTGACAGACCTCCTTACTGAAAGGACCAATTTTCGCTTTGGCATTTATAAGTGAACCCTGGTAGGACATTCTGAGTTGGTGTGACATTGTTAGCCAACAACTTTTCACTATCAGTTATTCCAAACCAGTGATCTTTACGTTCTATCATTCCTCTACATTTATTAACCAATGAGTCTATAAAAACGAGCTTTATCTGCCCCCTCCTTCTCTCTTGAAGTATCACCACAGAGTGTGAATTTCTAAGGAAAGTTATTCAGTACATCAGCACCCATTACTGTCACCATTCTTTTAAAGCCTGACTCCTCCTCCATTGCTGCACACAGTGAAGTCCTGCAAAGTGACATGCCCTCAGCTGAGGTAGCAGCAGATGGAAACACTCCGTGGAAGGCAGGGCACTCACACATGCCAGGGACAGGCAGGCCTTGCTACGGAAACGTTAGGACCCACGGAGATGAGTGACCCCACTAAAACCCAAACTGGGGCCAGGGCAGCCCAGGGCAGTGACTGGGCAGCAGGGATCCCTATAACCACAGTCGCTACAACTACTAAGTAACTGTCTTCATACTGGAGGAGTGACTCAGGTGTAATAAAAGCTTGGGCAACAGAGCACATGGGGACGGCAGTGGTGACTGTCGGGTGGCCCCCTTCACACTCGTACATACAGCCACGTGATGAAAATCAGCTTACACACTTATCACCTGAGGATGCATTTGCTTAAGTGCGCTGCCCCTCTTCACCAGGACCACTTTCTGGGACCTCGAAGATCTGTAGATCTGTAAATGAATCTTTCTTCTATGAAATCATCAAAAACTAGATGGCCCTGTGATCCAGGAAGAGACTGTGGCAGGAGGTCGAATCTGTCACCCCAGGCCCAGAGGCGCTGTGTCGTAAGGCGGTACCCCAGGCCACAGAGTCTTCTGTGGTTCATTTCTAAGGCCCAAATCCAATTTGGAATAAGTAGCTGCCCTTCTCTCTGCTTGATTCACAATTACTGGCATTTGAATAGAGGAGGTAGACAATGCCTGCCAGTGAGGGGCTGTCACTGGGAGAGAAGCTAGGGGACCCTGCAGTTCTGAGCCATGACAGAACCCTGGCAGCTAAGGGGGCCTCCTTGCCCGACTCTGACACTTTGGGGCTTGGGGGAGAGTTACCTGAAGTGACCTGCCAGGTGTTTTCAAAGGCCAGTCTCGGCGGCGCATGGGCCTGATAACACACTACTCCCATTGGCAATTTCTCCATAGCAAGGATGCTGCTCTCTTAATCAGAACAAGGTGTCGCGTCCCCTCACGTGTGACCGCTATGCACAAGAAGGAGGATCGGCTGGAGAGGCAACAGCAGGCCACTGTCTTTAGAAAATCGAGACAAGCATGACCCAGGCTACTAAGAAAAAAGAAAGAAAGCTGAAGAAAACAAACAGAAAAACATGAAAGTCATCTAAGTGTAAAGATACCCAGTGTGAGCACAGGGCACAGAGGGCTGAGACCCTCACAGGGTGCCTAGAGGCCAGTGCCTCTGTACACTGGAGGATCCCAGCAGTTCAGGTAAAGAGGTGGCCCGGGGACTCCTGGGGATCCTGTCTGGAGCATGGAAGGGGAGATCCTTTTGCTCTGTTTAGATCAGAGAGCTGGAGGCCACGGCAAAATGTGCTAATATAACAGGACCAACACAAAGCATTTGCTGTGCTCCACTGCCTGCTTCTAAGCACTTTACATGCATTTGCCCCTCTAATCCCCAACATAGCTTCATGAAATTGAAGCTATTATTGTCATCTCTATTTTCGGATTAAGAAGTCGAGGCACAGAAAACTTAAATAACCTGCCCAAAGCAACTCAGTGTGTGAGTAGGGGTGCTGGGATCCGAGCCCGCGCGGGAGGGCCCAGTAACTGCAGACTCAACCACAGGGCTCACTTAGAACTATGGCATCATGAGTCCAACAGCAAGGACCAAAGCCTCATGTGTATGAACCCCAGGACAGGGCGGAACACAGGAGTGACAGGACTGGGCAACCCAGCAAGTGCTGGCGGCTCTGCCCTGCTACAGACAGGAGAGGCTACTTTTCCTGGGTCCACAAGAGTTGCAGCCCTGTTGCTCTGAAGGTAAAGAAGGCAAGAACGGGCCAAGACACTGAGGTGAATTCTGAGCAAAAGATATCTGACTTACATCCCAGAAATAAGAACTGTATCACACCAGGATCTGTCACTGAGCAAGGGGTCCCAAGTTGGTGTGGCTGTCACAGCCCTGGAGGTCTTGTCAGGAAAGGCTCTCTTCCTGGACACCACCACGATGCCAGGACAGGCTGAGGGTGCACCCGGCTCACAGCTCCCGACAAATGGGTCAGAGGAGAAAGATTTGGTGCGACCTGGCTAAAACCTCAGGTCTCCAAGTTCAGACAAATCACACATATGATTCTTTCATCTAGACGTGACTGCTATGAAGGAATTCCAGTCCCCACATGGTAGGAGATTGACAAAGAATAATATTCTAAAGAGTACAATGTTTTAAAACTCATGGAACTGAGCTGCTAAGAAAACAAGGTGTGTGTGCTTATCCAAAGTGGCGGGTCTCTACCTGTCCTCTAATTTTATGTTCTGAATCTCACAGTTCAAATATACTTCATCCTGAGTGCCCTTCTGGCTACTGAGTGCTTAGTCTCAGTGTCCTGTGGGTTGATGAAAAGTGCGTGCATGCACTCGCGCGCACACACACACACACACACACACACACACACAATTTTACCCACATACATAGGAGACACATTCCCATAGAGTATGAGGTGAAAGGTCATGGTTTTTTTTATTTGACAAAGACCAGCAAGACGTCACAACAGTCACTTGCAGCAGGAGCAGGTGGAGCACAGCATGCATCTGAGCTGTTCCTCCAGTCACACCCCACACCTGTCCCTCGGGTGGCAGTGGGTCAGGCAGCTGCCAACAGTGCGGCAGAGCAAGCGGCATCTGGCCAGGGCCCAGCAGGAGTGCACAGCACCGTTTGCGCTTGGGTCTAACCTCTCAGCTCACAAAGAACTCACACGAGAGACAGCGCCCTTCCCGCTTGCTTGGCGGGCACTCGCAGGGAGACGCTCTTCTCGCATGGAACTATTTGTCCATCCCACCCACTTCCCTGCGTTCTTATGAGAAAGCCAGGGTCCACACACTGTCCTAGAACAGGAGACTTCTGCGATGAGCAAAGCAGGGGAAGTCTTGTTCTCTGCAGCTTGCAGTCCCCATCTGACTCAGGGGATGCCACCAAATGTCACAGGTCAGGCGGTGATGCAGCTACAGAGGAAGGGCCAGTTGGGGGAGGAGGCAGCAGGGTAGAAGTTGGCATTTTTAACGAGGGCACCCAAGGGAGGCCCCAGTGAGAGCAGGACTCAGGACCCTGCCTGCAGGGAGCAATGGCCCGCAAGGGGGTGAAAACAAGCAGCAAAACTAGGTGCTGGAGCAGCCCGACAGTGTGCCCTTGTCCGTCCCCTCCCACCGCAGGCTTCAGCCAAGCAGCTCTCCTTCTCGAAGCCTGTGTCCTTCTTTATAAACCAAAAGGGTGCTGCCAGATCCTCTCCAGGGCTCTAACGCTCCCTGGCTCTGTGTTCTCAGGAGCCTCTTCCGTGTGGGTGTGGCTGGGTGCCTACATACATGCAACTACAAAAAGAAACAAATTTTCCTAAATATTAATACTACTTGCAACTTACTCTAATTGTCTCCATGTGTCCTAGTCTACTCTATTTCATTTTTTTTAAGGGAAAAGCTTATTAAGCTCACATTTTGCAGAGATTTCAGTACACAACTGGTCAGCTCTGAGACCGGCAGCTGCACGCAGCTAAGTGGCGCTCACCATCCACTCCCCGGCCCTGGGGAGCTGTTCACAGGCACTTACACCTTCTGGGCTGTGGAGCCAACTCTGGCCCCAGCAGAACCACACACCGAGGAAAGGAACAGGTGATAGTGCCCCGGAGCCCGGCTCTGCCCTCCGCAGCCCCCAGAGCCCACAAGCCCAGGGCTGCGGAGCTGGACTGAAGTGGGCAGAATGTGACCGCAAAGCCCAGTTCCAGCACTGCAGCCCAGCTGCCTGCACAAAGCCTTCAGCAACTGGTGGTGGTGGCAGTGGTGGTGAAGGCAGAGGGAAACCAGGGCAGCAAAAGCTGCTTCAGCCATGCGCTCTTAGAGTCTAAAATGCTGGAGAAACTAGGGAGGACGTCAAGGGTGCAGCAACTGCCTCAGTACTAAGTGTCCCAGGAGGACGATGCGCGCTCCCCACCTGGGTTTATCTCGTTCCTTCCCATCCTTAACACCTCTCTCCTCCCTCCTTCAGCAAACTATACAGAAATGGGCTGGAAGAAGTGCAGAGACACGCGTTCAACGGGACGACGCTGCTCTCGCTGTAAGTGTGTGCTTATTTCCCGGGCTCATGCATAAGGATGAAGCCTCACGCTGGCTACCAGAGCACATTCAATCTGCAGCAAGTAACTCAGGGCAAAAATAAACTTTCAAGTGGCTAGTCCTTGGGGGTCTCACGCGCGTTACTAGGCAACCGGCTGCTGGAAACCCCACAGCACCCTGATTTCAAAGACAGATGCAGCCTTGATACATTGAGGCTGACAGCTTGCTGAAATATTCAGCACCCTGCTTCATGCCTCCTCTAGCCCCCACCCCAGCAGATGCTGGGCGCAGATTTCAGGAGGAAACTTTCCCAGGCCCTGCTGCACAGGGACTGGGTGACACCACTTAGCAGCTTAATCAGCCACCACAGGCCTGCTCTGGGGCCCCGCCCTCCCACTGGCTTTTGGGGAGGAAGGACACCCCTGTCCCAGGCCAGGCGGCTCCATGTCCCACTATAACGCCCTGTGCGTCCACTCGTGTCCCCTCTGACCTCTCCTCTCTGCAGCTCCTCTTAGGAATGATGCTTTTGCAAGCCTGTGAGGCCCCAGGACACCCCCAGCCAAGCGCAGCCCAGGGTGAGGCACCCCACAACCTGCAACTGTGCAAAACAAAACCTAAGAGCACAGGAAAAGCTCTGCTTAAGACAAAATTACGGAAAACCAGAGAAGCTTTTTAAGAAGTATGTGCACAAATGAGGGTCTACACTATCCTCTGCAGTTTAACACACAGGAGAATAACCTGTGACCTGTTAAGAGCAGGCCTCGGCCCCGGAGGCTTTGATCTGGGGTCTGAGGAGCCTGAGAACTCAACAGCCACACAGCGCCACGAGGCGCTGACTATACAGATCCGAAGTTAAGAAGGGCAAGGCTACACAAGTCATTAATTATTTTAAGCTATAGATCTTAACCCCAAAACCCTGTTCTACTGAAACCACACTATGCGGCTTGGTTGTTAAGAAGCCTAAGGGTACCAACTGGGTCTCACACTCTGATCCCACAGACATCAGCTGGTCTGACCCTGAGGAGGTCACTCAACCTTCCTAAGCCAGTGTCCACAATCACAACGCTGCTAATAGGCTGGGTTTATTGGTACGCCCAGGACTTAACACAGTGTCTGGCACATAGTAGGTGTTCAGGTACTAACGATTCTAATTTATAATTGTGAAAGAATGACTAATGAAACAGGATTGTATATTAGTTTTTTAAAAAATAATTTATTTGATACAGAGTCCTGCTATGCACCTTGGACTCAGGGCCGGCACCGTATGCTGTACTGGGGATTGAACCAGGTCCTTGCGCTTGCCAGGGAGGTGATTAGACTGCTGAGCTATCTCCCCAGCCCCACAAGATTGTATCTTTTTCTTGCCATGGAGTTTAGCACACACAAAGCACTCAAGAAATGGTGGCTGTTTAAAATGTGTTCTTCCTACCATAAAATAAGTTTGCCCTCACGTCTTGTGCACTTGAAGGCACAGGAAGTATGCCTTCACAAGAACCCTTGAGTTCATGAAGGGGTCGGTTGAAGCCTTCATAGCCTCCCTCCACCCACTGCCCTCTCTTCCTCATTCAATTCTTCATTTAGCAAGTATTTGCCAAGCATTGGCTGTGCTTGGAGAAACAGACCAAAGTGCATTTCGGGGGAATAGAAGGCAAGTCTGGGGTTTCCCAGCAAGAACATACAGCCTTGGAGGGAGTCTCCAGGAGGCACATGAACTGGACCAAAGTAGCCATAAAGCAGAAGGCAAAGGGCAGTGCTTGCCCTGGGAGAGAGCAAGTCCTCTGGGATCCCAAAGGCAGGAGGAAGGGCACTCAGAGGAAGCTGGCGAAGAGAGCCAAGCTTTGTGAGGAGTGAAATCCTGACAGGCAAAGGGGGAAGGAAACTGCATTTCGGGCAGATGACAGCAGGAGCAGGCAGGACGAGGAATTATGGGATGTGATAATTGACCACAGCTCCTCCTCCTCCTCCTCTTCCTCCTCGTTTGAGACAGGGTCTCCTATGTAGCCCAGGATGGCCTTCAACTTGCAGCGCTCCTCCTGCCTCAGCCTCCTAAATGCTGAGATTATAGGCTTGCACCACATACCTGGCCTCCAAAACCTTTTCAGAAAGTGCTGGATGTGAGTTTGTCAAAGCAGAGCCATCAGTGCCAGGGTAAAGGATGTGGTCTCTTCTGCAGGAGGTGAGGAGCAGCTGAGGGTTCTGCGGTGGGAAGTGTAAGATGAGGTTTAAGTTTAGCCAGTAGCAGGGAGAGTGGAGGCAGCCAGGGGCAGGAAGGCACAGACCCAGTGCTAGGGTCTTCTTAACAGAGGGGGCGGCTGGAGTCCTTCGTGAAGGGGGTACCTGGGCCTGGGGAGGATGAGAGGACTGAATGCAACGTTGGGAGAAACAAGAGACGAGAAGAGGCCACAGCAAAATCAGAGGTGGGAAAAGGCCCACAGAGTTCATGCGGGGAAGGTCAGGGAAGACAGCGGGAGGAAGACCTGCTGGCCAGCAAGATTGTAGCTACTGCAAAGTGGCCAAATGGACGCTGTTCCTTGAGTCGAAATTCTGTGTCCTCGTGTACCTTGTAACAGGAAAGAGGAAACCAAGAACACGCATTAGTTTGTTGAGAATACAAATCAATTTCATTTGTTGTATTCATTCAACAAATATTTATTAAGCACCACTAATATCTGTGGCACTTTGGAGGTGTTGGGTTTGCATTTATAGAGTGAACATGGACCCTGCCTCGTGAAGTTTCTCTTTCAGCACAGACTGGCAAAAAAATCAAGTCAGTAAATAAACAAAATTGTTGAAAATAACTGACATACCATGACACACCACTGACATACCCATTACTGAGCTCTTAGGGTGTTCGGGGGAGGGGTAGAGCGAGCTGGCAAGGCGCTTGAGGGTGACTTCACCAAGAACATAATATTTAGGCTGAGCCTGGAGTAGGACAAGGAGCCCACAGTGCAGTAGTAGGGGAAGCACATTACAAAAAGCAGGAGCAGCATACACAAAGGTCCTGAGTTGGCAAAGAAAAGAAGTGGCAAGTTCAGGAGTGGACAGGAAGCCCCTGGGGATGGGAGGTTTGCAGGGTGGGGAAACTGGTATGAGATGATGCTGAAGCAAGTCCTGTGAAACAAGGGGCTGCAAGGGGGCAAAACATTCACTAAAGACTTTTTTCGCCATACAGAATTTCACTAAACGAAATAATACGAATGTGACAATGTTTGTTGTATTGCATAGTGCTGTCTTCAAATTGTCTACATTACCAGATATGTGCATGAAAAATTGGAAAAAATAGTTATAAGAAGTTACAAAGAAGAAAAAAATTTAAGCATTAACTTCTCCTTTCCATAGACCAGCAGAAATCAGAAGGACAGTTACCCAAGCCATCCTGCGTACCTAAACATGTTTTTCCCCCAACCCGTCCTTTTCCTCATCCCAGTTGTTCCTTCCCTTTGATGAACAGATTCTTTCCTTCACAGTATTGATTGACCTTTCAGGTTTTATTTACTCATTCAGGTTCTTACACTACTGAGACAATATGGTGCTTGTACATGCGGGTCTGATTTATTTACTTAAGAGTATGGTCTTGGCGCTGGCGGGATAGCTCAGCAATCTAAAGCACCTGCTTAGGCAAGCCTAGGGATGGCAGTTCGATCCCCAGCACCACATGCCACACCAGCCCTACTCCCAGGGTGGGCTGAGCCAGCCACAAAAAAATTAAATAAAGTAAGATAAAAAAAATAAGTACAATTTTTTTTAAAAAAAAGTATGGTCTCTATTTGCGTCCATTTACCAATAAAAGCCTCAAATTTACCTTTTTATAGCTGAGTAATACTCCACTGTGTAAAAATATCCCTTCCTTGGTTGATGGGCATTTGGGTTGTTTACAAGATTTAGCTGTGACAAATTGTGCTGCTATAAACATCGGTGCACATGTATCACTTTGAAGTATTTCCCATGCAGTTTGGGTTTTGTTCATGAGCTCCCTGCCTACCCCTATGTCTTTAAGATTTCTACCTACATTTTCCACCAGAAGACTCAGTGTTGCTGTTTGTGTTTTTGTTTTGTTTGGTTTTTTTTTTTTTTCAGAACCGGGGATTGAACTCAGACCCCTGCACTTGCCAAGGAAGCACTTATTCCACTGAGCCATGTCCCCAGTCCCAGTGTTGCTGTTTTAATATTTAAATCTTTGATCCATTTTGATGATAGTTTAGTGCATGGTGATAGACATGGGTCTAATTTTGGCCTTCAACATGTGGAAAACCAGTT